TGTGCACCCACAGACTAGGTCTTCATTTGTCCCAGAACCCCTCCTGTCTATCTGAACAGGAGTTAAGCAGTACTCACTGTTGTGTTGTCCCCCTCCAAGGCAGGAAGATTTCTCTGGATGAAGCAGGTCTCTGGGTTGCTCAAGCCCTTGGCTTCCAGCCTAAGGGAAGCCTAACAGATGAAACTAGCAGTCAGACCTCTCTCCTTGGATAGTGGCATTCAAGGAATACTTCCCAATCCAGATTTGCTTGCTTACCTTTCTCCCTACTGTTTTTGGCCCTTTGATTGCTTGGGGAGAAGGGGGACCTGACAGGCTGGCTTCTCTTTACTACTTGACTCCAGCAGCCATTTTGGAGGCAGGTGAGGGTGGTTAAAGAGAAGAGAGACACCTCTTGTCAAGGTGAGGGTAACTGGACTCTTCTGAGAATTAAAATGGAACTCTCTCTCCCACCCTGGAGAAAACAACTGAGGGTTACAACTCTTTCTGCTGCTAGAAGCCAACTCCCCTACCATCTCTCCAAATAATGGGCCAGGGTAGATTTGCTGTGAGTACCTGAACTGTCCCAGTGCCTACAGGATGTGGTTGGTTTTCCAAGCATGTCAGTCAGGGTGCTGTCCTAGTAACTCCTCCTCTTGCCTAGTCCAGCCCCCCCATCCAGATTTCACCCACACGGGTTAGGAAGTCAATTTCTGCATCTATTTCTTCACCTCTACATCCATGCTGCTACTTCAAAACAGCAAGGAGGCAACACCAAAAATAGAGAGGATGATGCTAATAATGCTTGGTACTGTGTGTGATTCAACTATTATTGACATTTTATGTATGCTTTTCTTTTTCTCCCTTTTCCCTTATTGCAATTTAAATGAATAAGGAGGAGGAGAGGGAACTATAGCTCTTGTCTACCGGGAGCTTTCCTGGAAGATTCTATAGTCATCAGGAGAGAATTAGTGGGATGACAAGGCAAAAAGAAAAAAAAAAGAAAAATCTTTGTGAAAATTAACAAATCTGGAATAGGATGAATGTTCACAACTTCAGCAAAGTAAGTTTAGGTACACAAATGCTGACATTTTGCACCTACAACCATCCCGGTGATAAACTGTCTAAAGCCCAGATGTTCCAAGCTTGGTGAGTTAGACCCAGATTTTAAAGATATTTATGTGTTGCTCTGCTCAGGGTTGCAAGGCCAAATGCCCAGATCCTCAGAGATATTTAATTTAGAAGTCTAACTCCCATTGATTTCAACGGGAGTTAGATGCATAAATACTTTTGAGGATTTGCGCCTAAATAACTTAGGTGTCCAAGTCTCATGTTCAGAAGTGATTTAGGCACTTAAGAGCCTACATTTCATTAAAAGTCAACAAGGCTCAGATCCACAAAGGGACTTGGGTGTCTAAATACCACTGCAAGCCACAAGAACCCTCATTTAGCTGCTGCCTAACCTTGTCGGTGCCTAAACTCACTCATCACCAAAATTTTCATTAGAGTTCCCTAACTACCTAAGTTTCTGCCTGTGGGCATGCACATTGCTCAGGAAGATAGCTAGACATTTATGTCACACCTAAGCTCTAGCAGGATCCTCAAATCCGGTAAAGACAGGCTATTTTGCCTGTGGGGCTAATTGGGCAGGTGTGTTCTGAGCACAACTAAATCCACACAAAATGGCCAGAAAAAAAGCTTAATTATCCTGTTTAACCCAATGGTTAGAGGACTCTGCTGGGATGTGAAAAACCTTGCTTCAATTACTTTCTCTGCCTGATGACAGACAGAATTCAACAGGGGTTTCCCACCTCTCACGGGGTGCCCAACCACTGGACTATGGGATATTCTATGTGGGTCTTCCTCCGTCTCTCCTGTTGAAGCCATTCCACTTTGTAAAAATAATTAAATATACATTGGACCAGACAGAGAGTGAGAATGACTCTATATAGTCCGGGGGTAAAGGATCCCTGTTCAAATCTATTCTCTCATCAGGAAGAGGGAGAACTCAGCCAGGGTCTCCCATATCCCAGGTGAATACCCTAGGCTAAAGGTATTCAGGAGGCCTCCTCCCCTACAAACACACTCCCATTTTGTGTGTAGGTAGACACGTGTCCTCTCTGTTCTTGCAAGAAACCGCTTAGGTGTCTACAGTGCCCGACTCCAGAAGTGTTTCCAGCCATGGGTCCCTCCTGCCTAGAGTTAGGCACCAAACTCCCTGAGAGAGGCATGACTTGGGGCACACCCCTCTCTTCAGCATCTGCTATTGACCAGCTTAGGTAGCTCCATGCCTAACATGCTGGATTTGTGGCTCCTATTCTCAAGTGCCTCTCTCTCTCCACACATTTTACAAGGAGCCTAGACAACTAATGCAGGGTTTATGGATTCCGCTGGGTGCCTAAAAGTTAGGCAGTGCTACATTCAGCATTGCAATGCCCAAGTCCCTTTGTGGATCTGGCCCTGAGCCTTTACCCAACCAAAACTGTTCCCAGTCACCGTTCCCACTTCAGTTTCTTATTAATAAGAGATTATTCTGACTGCCTCACACAGGGATAAAGTATTACTGAACACATACAGGCATGGTTGTGACTGAAGCTGAGGGAAGGGTCCAGAGTTAATGAAGGAATAGGAACAGAGGTGTAGCTAAATTTTTGCAATTAATATACAGGCACACCAGCTGTTACACCTCAGTGGATTATTATCTCTATAATTTTCATAAGTAACCATTATTAGTAACAATCATGACCACTAATATATCAGGCATGATATATAATATGCTTTGCAGCTATATCACCTGGCCTATGATCTACTCAGTGCTTACACCCTGATCAATGGCAGGCTGGGTCAAGCACTTGGATGCAAGATCTTCAAAGAACACCTAGGAGCTGTAAAAGTGACATTGATTGCAGTACTCTTCCTTTTCAGGTTAATACTGAGATAATGCTACAGAGCATGGAGTCAGGGAGCACTGTGGTAAAACAGGTGCCAAGTTTCAGAAAGGATGTAAAACAGAGGTCCTGCTCACGTGTGGTCATTAAAAAAAGATCCTACTCACTCACAGTCTACAGTACTTGTAGGAGCGCTGCTATCCACACAAATTTCATCTGAAGTAATTGGCCCTAATGAATGCTATTGCTAATAGTCTCAGCCAATGCTAGGGACTAGGCATGGGATCCACAAAAGGGCTTAGGCATTGTAATGCCGAGCATCAAGCCCAATGACTTCCCCTGTGGATAAATATTTAGTTGTTGGACCAGAGAGAGAGAATGGGAATTACTCTGTTGCCCCATGATTAGGGCATGCACCTGGTAGGTGGGAGACCTTGGGTCCAGTCCCCCTACTCTTTCATAATTTTCCACCGTAGAAGAGCTTCAACAGGAGACACTGACAGAGCACCACAGCAAAACATGCCATAGCTCAGTAGTTAGAGAACTCTCCTGAGAGATATGACCCCCGTTCAAATCCTCTCTTTTGTCCACTGGCAGAAATAGGGGGAATTGACTGGGCCTCCCACATCCCAGGTGAGTGCTCTCACCACTTGGCTATAAGTTATAAGGTGGGCCATTCCTTCTCCAGCTGTATTTTGAATGAGACCCAATCTAGTAGGCACCCTGAAAACACACCAAATGCCTACCTTTCCCTCATTTGTTGCAGATAGGTACCCAGATGACTAGAGGAAGACAGCAGTGTGCACACCCAGAGACTGAAACATAGGCGTATATGACATTTTTACCCTGAAAAACGTTAGGCACCTAAACTCAGTTAGTGCTTAAAGGACTGGCAAGAGTTTTATGGAACACAGTGGAGCCAAAACTAGGATTTAGGTGCCTACATCTGGGGTTTAGACACTTCAGAACTTTTGTGGATCCCACCCTACATAGGTATGAAGACTCAACTAGTTTCTCCTTGGAATGGATTTTCCTTCAGGAGCTTGCAGTCACTGCATGCCACGCCTGTGTTGTACACCACAAAGTACTTTTTCCCCAGTGATGCTAGTCCGACACTTTTTCCCATTTAAGTTTACACCTTACATCCAATTTAAATCTTTTCATTCAATTAAAAAACTACTTTAAACATAATTCAATAGCTTTACTTCAGTGATACATAATGAAAGGAAAGCATACAAGAATGACATGTTCTTTTTCTGAGGTATGCAACTAAACTATGCTCTCTCCCTTACTGCCACACTGCCCATTTTGTGCTGTGACAGGGACCCCTTCCTCTTCCTGCATAGTCACTCCTCCAACAACCTCTCTACAGCCTCTCTTATCACTCTTCCAGTCTTTTATCTTTTGCTATTCTACCTCAGTCCTGCTCTGGTACGCATGAAGCTGGTAGGCAGAACAATGAGTGAGGGATTCAGTAGGACTGGTCAAGGAGAAACATTAGTAGCAAAAATTTAAACAAAATAAACCTTTTGTATATTTTATACAATAAAATTCTGGCATATTACTATTTTAATTGTAACAAGGTCTGATTTTTTGGGGGAAAGGAGTTTCATATGGAGCAGCAGTATATTATAGGAATTGTATAGGCACACAATTACTTTATCACAACTCACAAAGCTCCAAGCCAATATTTTAATTTTAAACCATCACTTTCAGCAGTCTGGTTTGAACAGTGACTTTCCATATAGCTTACAAATTAATGGTGTAACTAGGAAGTACGTACAAATAAATTGATACAGGACAGAGAGGAGACTGTGAAAAGGGAAGCGTAACAGACGACTTATTTCATAGGAGGGTAGGTGAACTAAACTAATCTGAACTGCTTTAGTTTATCACAAAGACATTTAATTTATTTCATTATACTCTGCGGGCAAGTTAAAGCACGCCAAGGCCTTAACATATTCAAGGAGATGAGTGTAGCGGACAAAGGCTCCTTCAGAGAGCAATATTTAATAAAACTTAAAGTAGGTCTCAGAAGAGTCGTAGAATGTGTATTAACTATGGCACCAACACTTGAGATACGCTGTTCACATGCACGTGTTTTAAAGTAATTGCCATCACACACATACACACACATCCCAAAAATTATTTTAATATAGGTATGGGGGGTGAGGCTACAGCAATGAAGAGAGGCCACAAAAGAGATGGATAATGAACAGTCCACAGGTAAGAAGGCTAAATGTTCATGTAAGAAACAAGAGACGTTTTTTCGTTAGTTATGATGGGAGATGGCAAATTTACACCCAGATGAAAAGGTTTCCATTTTTCCAAATGGAGTAGGATATTTCAGCAAATGAGTTAAAATAACCTAATTTGTTTTTCACGTTTTGTAAAACACGTTTTAATAAAATTATCATTTAGCTAGAATAATCAAGTTTCATTATTTATTCTGATCAATATTTACACAGAGAAACAGAAGCCTAAGTAAGTATGAAAAAACCCTACGATTATAGAAGGCCAATTTTCCTCTAAATTCTTCATACATGGTACTACAAAATACCGTGTGTGAATCATAAGGCAGCCAAAAAAAGTGTGTGTTTTGTTCTAAAGAGAGATTTAAAAAGAGGGAAGTGATTCACTGGTTCAGGGAGTTACAGATTATTATAGCAACCAAAATGAGAAAGCAACTTTCCCCACCAAATATTTGAGGGAGGCATGGAGGAAAGGAAATTAGAAGGCTATATAATCAAATTTTGAAAACCAGGCGGGCAATTTTTAATTGTATGAAAAAACAAATAAAATTAGAGAACATGAGGAGAAAATAGGGGTGGCACAGCTCCATTTACAGAAAATAGTCTGGAGATGACATTCTGCAACCCCCAAAAAAACGTAGTCAAAGAGCAGGTATTCAATAATAACATAAATGTGGAAGTGCAATAGCCACCGCCAGGCACAATAAAAGACAACTGAGGATTCCACAGCAAGTAGATCAAGAGAAGAACCAACACTGGGAATGCGCTGAAGACAGTGATAGACAGATTTAAACATGGGAGTTGAAGGAAGTAAAAGATGTAAGGTCTAGGACAACTATGATTTCTGGTCCTGAGTAGACATCTAAAGTCTAAATTACTGAGAGTGAGAGTAGAACCAGAGATCTAAGACTAAGAGGATCAAAACAGAAAGACCAAGCAAGTTTAAAAAGAGGGAAGGTTACGTATCCTATAAAATTGTAACATTCCTTCCCATCACCTTAAAGTCTTGATGCTGTGAGTTCTAACTTGAAAAATATTATCAAAATTATTCTTGTACAAGTGATGACCACAAGGATTTTAAGGTAAATTATATTGCACTAGAGCCAGAAATGAGTTACTGTTGCTATGGTATTAAAAGATCATTTTAATATTGAAGATTGTTAAGGGCCTGCTCTTGCAGCTCTTAGTGATTATATAAGAATGATTTAAGAATGAATTTCCTGTGTTCAGATGTTTTCCACCATTATATTGTAACAACACACTATCATAGAATCATAGAAACGTAGGCCTAGAAGGGACCTTAATAGGTCATCTACTCAAGTACTATAAGCCTGTATTATACTATTCTTCTACTAAACCATACAAGTTGCTTGGGCATTTTTCTTTCTAAATTCCTCTTTTCATTTGCACTTTATACATCTCCTTTATTGGGAATGGTTCACAGAACACAGTAACTTTTATTTAATAGAAAACACATTTGGGCAGGTCACTGATTTTTTGTACCCATTGTACATCACTAATATACTTTTATTAGCCAATTTAAAGTGGTTAGTAAGGGTAGTTTCAATCTAATGAGCAAACAAGACATTTAGAAACTGACATTCTAGAATTCCCATTAAAGACTCAGCAAGATGAACTGCAAAGCAAAGGTCCTCTTTACACCTATCACATTAAAGGGGCATATTCCCCTAAAACATAATTAAGATGCTTTTATGTATTGATATTGGTTTAATAAATGATACTGTACATTTTAGATCACAATTAAATTTGTACACTGGATGCTACACACTCTTTTAAACCTCAATTATATAAAACAATAGTGAAGTTGGTACAAGTATTCATCTTTTCCCATAAATATATCTAACTCCAAACAAAGTTTGAGGTGTGTGGGGTTTTTTGTTTTTTAAAAGGTTACATAAGTACCACCTTCTCTCAGTCAAAAGTTTAGTAATTAAGTTTTAGGGGACCCATCCCACAAATAGTGGCATCCAACCCTAACTTTGCTCATTTGATTAGTCCTACTAAAGGTAATGGGACTACTGATGCAAATAATGTTACTCCTATATGTATACGAGGTTGGTCTTTCAGATAGCAAATAGAAACTAAAAATTAAAATAGCGTCCGTTATTTATGTAAGCGAAAAATAGTTTTTACTTAAAACAAAGTCTGATAAATAATTGAGTAGCTTGTTTCTTAGAATTTTGAAAAAAACCTCAGTACCAAAATTTAAGAACTTTGAAGAGTAACTATTTACAGTACAAACAATGGATATATTATATTTAACTGCATATTACAAATCACATCTAGGAGAAGCGTTTTGGTGTGTCAAGGATTTATTTAGCATGACCTGTGTTTTTATGAATTGGAAGTGCCATGTCCAGATAAATTATGCAACAGAGAACAATGAACAAATCAATAGTCAAAGATGTACAGAGAATGGAGTTGCAGATGATATCCAATCAATTCAGGAGGATTCCAAGAATTATCAGCTTTCATTTAAAGTGCTGTCAAAATAAATCTGGCACACAAACTTTTCATTTTTTAAACTGATATACATGGGTACCAAAACCTAGTAGCAGGCTAACAAATGTGCCATTGTTGGGTCATCTACAGGGCTATTACGGCCTCTATGAGATTTGTTCACTCCTGCACAAAGATAACTAGACATACAGGTCCAAAAATCAAAACTGAGAAGGCAGACAGGGCAATGCCAGGAGGTGACAACGTCCAGAATCCATTTCTCCCTCTGGGAGGAGCCTCGCCCCAACATCCAAGGGCAGGAGGCACCTGTTGCTGTGAGGCCCTTTCCCTCCTGCTGCGTGGGGCTCCTTGGGGCCTCCTTCAGATGCCGCGGCTTCTCCTGCAGGAAGTTCCCGTCCGTGCCTACTTCCGGGACCCAAAAAACCTGCGGGGCGGAGGAGCCCCGCTGTGAGGCGGCCCCAGGGTGCTGCCGGCTGGGACCGCCTCAGGCACCAAAGGGGGGGGTTGGAGAGAGTGACGGGGGGCCCCTCACCCCAGTGATCTGGCTGTGGGGGGGAGGTCCCCAAACCACCGCGGAGCCCAGTCAGCCTCCCCCTGGTTACAGGGGCGGCACCAGGCTCCTCTTCTCCGGCGGCGGCTGCTGCCGCCCCAGGGGCGGTGGCTGCTCCCCGTCCTCCTCCTGCAGCAGCTCGTCTAGCTCCCCGTCCTCCTCCAGCCCGTCCTGGGCCCGGCGGCGCCGCAGCTGCTGCAGGGCCCGCCGGTGCCGCTCCTGCAGCCGCCGCAGCTGGGCCGCGAGCGCCGCTTCCTCCTTCTCCTCCTGCGGCGGCTCGGGGGCGGGGCCGGGCCGGGGCGGCGCGTCGGGCTCCGGGCCGGGCCCCAGCAGCGCCTGGCGGAAGAGGCTGCGGTTCTCCCGGCGCAGGCGGCGGTTCTCCAGCCGCAGCCGCGCGTTCTCGTCCCGCAGCCGGGCGTTCTGGCGCTCGCGCTCCTCGCGGGCCCGCACCGCCTCGCTGTGGCTGGCGGCCAAGTCCGCGTATCGCTCCGCCAGCTGCTGCGGCGAGCCGCCCGCCAGGCCCCGCCAGCCGCACGCCGCCTCGCCTCCGCCAACGGCCGGCCCCCGGCCCCTCCGCGAGCCCGCGCCGGGCCCGCAGCTCCAGCGCCGTCCAGCACCGCGCATGCGCCTCATCCGTGCAGTGCCTTCGCTGCTCTGGCTCCGCCCGCCTCCTCGGCGCAGCCGCGGAAGTGAGACGCTTAATGCTGACGCAGCGTTATGCAAACGAGGGGGCGGGGCTACAGGCTGCTGGAGCGGGACGGAGCAGCGCGTGCTGCCCGCTGTCTTTGTGGCCCTTGCAGGGCCAGAGGTGCAGGGGGGGCCGCAGGGGCGCCTCCTCTCCCTTTTTAAAATATTTTTTAAATAGCAGAATTCGCCCACTAAATCATGTGGGGAAGGTCAGGGCACCTGCTCTGAAAATACAAAGCGATCCAGGAAGCCACGCTTTCCGCAATTACAGAAGGATTCAGCCGGCTGATTACTATTTCATCATTATTTATTTAGTGGTGACAGTATGCCCCCACCTTATACAGTATACATGAAGTCCCCGTGCCAAAGGGCTTACAGTATAAAGGCCTGGTCCTACAAACGATACTGAGCATAGCGACCATACTGGGGTCTGCATTAAGAAAATCCAGTGCAGGCTCTAGACTTGAAGATCTAAACTGACAACTAAATATGTTTGTACTGCTTACTGGTAGGGATAGTTCCACTGAAATAAGTGGAATTTTCTAACAGAAGACTGCCATGTGAAAAAAAAAACTAATTTACATGATGACAGGTTTCAGAGTGGTAGCTGTGTTAGCCTGTATCAGCAAAAACAGTGCGGAGTCCTTGTGGCACCTTATAGACTAACAAATTTATTTGGGCATAATCTTCCGTGGGCTGAAACCCACTTCATCGGATGCATGGAGTGGAAAATACAGTAAGAAGATATATATAGCAGTACATGAAAAGATGGGAGTTGGTGATTTTTCATCCTGTTGATAATAGCCCACTTTAATTGATTTGTCTCGACCTCCCCCACCCCACTCGGTAAGGCAACTCCCATCTTTTCATGTACTGCTATATATGTCTTCCTACTGTATTTTCCACTCCATGCATCAGATGAAGTGGGTTTCAGCCCATGAAAGCTTATGCCCAAATAAATTTGTTAGTCTATAAGGTGCCACAAGGACTCCTCGTAATTTACATCAGTAATCCCACTAGAAGAAATAAAAGTTCATATTGTGAAGGGTCCAAATCAATGTAATTCCACTGAGTGCAGATGTAAATACAAGTAGGATCTGGGCCTTAGGCCTCAATCCTTCTAACATTTATCCACGTAAGTAACTTTCCATGACTGAGTAGTCCTACTGGGTTCATTGGGACTACTCATATGTATATAGTATTACATGTGCATATATATGTTCAGGATTGAAGCATCAGATTGTAAACCCTTTGTGATAGAAACCAGGTGCTACGGTAGGCTCTGCATGGCACTGAGCCACTGTCTGGGCCTGAGCCAAAGCCCCATCAAGGTCAATGGAAAGAATCCCATTGATTTTAACTGATTTTTGGATCAAGTGGTTGGTGCTCAACAAAACCGTAAATAATTTTTTAGAACTGTTTCTTTCATAACAGGCAGGTGCTTATTTACATTTTTTTAAAAATTGAAAATCACTGTAGCCTGGAAGTATCTCAGTATTGCTGTAAAGTAATTTTGCCAGATCTCCTGGTCAGCAAAAATGAATTTACAGCAAATATTTCCAGTAATAAACTCCAAAGAAGAGGCTGACTGAGAACATGAAAATAATTTAATGCAAATAGGTTACCAGTCTGATTTTGCATTGAAATAAATAGGCACTAAAATTTAACAGTTTTACTGTTTCTGTTTAGAAAATTGGTAGATGGCACTTTATATCAAAATAAGGGCTTGATCTCAAAAAGAGCCCCATGGACCTCTGTTGAAATTAGTCAGAGTAGAAAGCACTTAACCCCACAGTGGATTAGGCCCAAGAAATTATTGTGGAATGGGGTGCAGTGTAGATCTTGGGCTTTGTGTGATCAAAGCACTTAGGGTAATATTCACACTGAATAGTACCTGACATCACTGAGTTTAATGGGGTTACCTGTGGGTAAGGTAATATTCAGTATGGGTAAAGGCATCACAATCTGGCCCTTATTATTTGTTTATTCATATATTTGTCAATTTCTTTTTAAAAAATGCATCTACTCCATATTGTAGGCACATATACAAGGAGTTAGTAAAATACAGATAGAAATCAAAGGACCAATTTTCACATAAACATCATTCTCACATGCCAAAACTAACTTTGTCTGTGCCTCAGATTCCCCAGCTATCTGCAAAACAACCCATTGAAATCTTAGATGAAAGGTGCTATAGCTATATAAGTACAAAGTATTAAAGTTACAATTTTGGGCAGGATTATATGCAACAACATAGGCAAGCATGAGCATAAGGAACCCTGTACTGTGCAGGCTACCTGCAGGGCAGGTCACAGTGAGGAAAGGAGAGTAGCCTCCACAGAGCTGCTATGCCTTGTCCCACAAAAGTGGATAGGGAGTGGGCATGCTGGGAAGGGGAATGGGCACAGTTTTGAGTCTGCACTTGGTACATTGCTGGTGCAGTTTACTTGTCCCCTGGAGCAAAAGAGGAACAGGGCTGAACAGTGACTCAGGGTCACACCGCCACCCTATAATAGGTATTGTTTAAAACAACGGCACTAACTGTCAAGAATTAAAACCTGCAGATATAAAAACAAACTAATCCTATTTCTCTGCAAAAAATCTCTCAGAAGCTAAATCAAATAAAAAATCCTACATTTAAACTTAACTAGGCCCCAGTTCAACAAGTGCTACATGCATAATTTAACTAGTTTATATAATCCCATTGACCTGAGTTTCTCACACGTTTGCAGGAACAGGGCCTTACTATAGGCTTCTGGAGAGAAAAGAGTGGTACAGGAGACGGCTCAGCATTTCCACAAAAGCTTTTTTTCAACGGAAAATTGTTTGTTGTGAGTTTTCTTTTTTTGACAAATTTAAAAATTTTACAGCAAGTGTCTGCTTCCCTCAAAAAAAAATCTTTTCCCTTGTTCCCCCCCAAAAATTGAACACCCACTATAGGCTGCTCCAACAACTTGAAATAGCCTGGGCGTAGGAATGATTTAGTTGGGGATTGGTCCTGCTTTGAGCAGGGGGTTGCACTAGATGACCTCCTGAGGTCCCTTCCAACCCTGATATTCTATGATTCTATGCCACACCAAGTCTCTCTTCGTCTCCTGAATTGAAGGCTTCTGTGCAGAGAATGGCCAGCCATCGTGACTCTGTGCCTACCAGAGGACTCCCCAGGTGCCAGGACAATTCCGTGGGTACGCTCGGTATCTTTATGATAACTTTGTGCCAGGGTAGTCAGTGTAATGTGACTGTGGGGCAATTGTGACTCAGACCCATAGACACCATTTTGAAAATCTGGTCTTCATAACTATTTTTTGAAATCAGGAGGAAATTCAAGCATTTTAAACCAATGATTCCTGTATAAAAGAGAGACGTGTTGATAAAGCTTATGATGCCACCTGTATTATCATTAAAAACAACGAGCAGTCCTTGTGGCACCTTAGAACTAGCACATTTATTTGGGCATAAGCTTTCATGGGCTAGAACCCACTTGGACTCCTCGTTGGTTTTGTAATGTGTAATGTGATTGTGGGGCAATTGTGACTCAGACCCATAGACATCATTCTGAGATTTTTTCAGGATTTTAAAGTAGCCGTGCTGAGCTGACCTGGGGACAGAGCCACTCAATATGGACCTCAATCCATAACCCTGGCTCTGTTAGGTGAAAGACAGTGAAAGGTCTAAAAATAGAGTACTGCATTTACAGTACAGAATTTACAGTAATTTCAATACCTACTTAATAGATGCTGTCAAAATATCATGGATCAGTGGTGTTATATGCCCAGCCTAAATGATGCATCCCATCCTTTCAAATGAATACATAAATAAAGTTTCTGGATCTTCTGGCTGTGAACCGAACTTTCCAAGTGAGAAGAAAGTGTTCACTAATTCAGTGTTATCTTCTTGAGCCTGCAGAGAGCCTGAAACAATGGCTCTGAGAGACATGAACCAACAACCCTCAGCTCCATTAATCAAGCTGGAGTGGTGATTCTGAAGCCAAACACCACCACTTTAAATGGAAGCATTAACTATTTCATTGCTTGTCAGTTTAGCAGGTAGGCAAGGAGTAAAACTCAGAGATGGGAGCAATTGGAAATTACTGCAGGAAAGACGATACATAGGGAAGAAATAACAAGACGTGAAGTCAGAGAAATTGAAGAGAAACATAGAAAAGAAGGAAGGAAGGGAAATAGTGGTGACCTTATAAAGGAGTATGTTTTCCAGCTGAATGAAGCTGAATGTGACAATGAGGTGCTTAATAAATCATAAATAAACTAAAAGTATAATTACTATGTACAAGCCACATTCTGTCCTTGATATTTGTGCAAATCCCTCATTGGCATCACAGGGCATTCCTCAGTGGATCGAGGAGAGTATGCAGTCTTACATTTATACTTTGGCCATGTACCACAATGAAAAATAGAATTTGGCCAAAATTAAGTTTGACACTCCTCTCATAGGTGGAGAGAGAGAGAGAGAGAGATGGATAGTAACAGCAGTGATCCTAGCAGACCTAGAGGTAATGTAGAAAAATCCAGATCAAGCTCTCTTTTTCTGGGGGTGAGGGTAGGTGGGTAGATGGGGAACAACATACACTTACAACTAACAATCCAGGATGAGATGAAAGTTTCCTTGCCACTTATATGTAATTTGGAATTGTGTATCCCTGCAGCTGATCTCACCTATCAGAGCCATTTCTGAGCGTAACCAAATTAATCAATTGACTTTTGCAAAACAAGATTGCGCTTCATAAGAAAATACTAATCATAGCTCCTTTGATACAAGAAGGAACACTGCTGGCACTCTGCGGAGAGGTCTGTGACAAGATGATAGATATTCTGATAGCATCACACTGCTGACCCTTTTAATTGGTCTTCATAAGTGTTTTTTGAAATCAGGAGGAAATTCAAGCATTTTAAACTGATGATTCCTATATAAAAGAGAGACGTGTTGATAAAGCTTATGTCACCTGTATTATTATTGTACATTAGCTT